ACTGAAATATATAACGGATATGAAGAGTTCCTAAAACATGGTTTATACTTGTGCATATTTGACATAAAGTTATGGTCAATCCAGTATAAATTTTGATACGACATACACTGGTATGAAATCCATTATAACGGTCTTATTTCCGACTGCCGTCTCCTTATGGGTAGGAAGCCACGTTATAAACATATTGACTCTCCGTTGGTACTTTTTATAGATGGTATATTTCTGTACGGTAATGTATTCAGTGAACCTGGTGGAGCCCTGTGCAGATATAGACGATCACTTCAATATCCCACGGTAACATAGCAGGAGGCGGTGCATGTGCAGTATATAGTGTGTCGCGATTGGTCAAAGATTGGTTGGCTGCCAAGTGAATTGTAGCAAATGGCGTTGCACATTGGCCAGTGCCTTAAACAACAAAGGTAAGATGCTGATTGGTCGTATTGGCGGACTTGAACCAACACAGTAAGGGTGTATATAGATCGCGGGCAAGTCCGTATACTTTTGGACGCGGACAAAGATAGGGCACAGTGGGGGTTTGCGGGGAGTATCGATCAATTGCAGATATAAGCTGGACAATGCAGGTGAACATGTGTGTGGACGACAAGACATATCAACACACATTGAAACACCGATCCTGAGTACCTCGCCATACATCGGAATAACGAACTTGTATAATAATAATAAAATATATGGTAAAAAGTAACTCAAATATTCAGGTCAATAGTATCTCAAGAATATTTAGGTATATCGCACGCAAACTTCCATCAATACATAAACACACGCACGCAATTCGCACACGCTTAATAAACGGGTCAAATCCACACACAGGGAGGCAAGTAAATGCAACGCAAAACCGAGATTCCAATTTCCAGCGCAGCACTACAGTGGCAGTGGTATCGAAGGACACGTATCTCCAGTCATGCAGCTAGAACATACCAACGGGCATAACCCGTACGGCAATAAAACACGCATCAAAAATAAGGCGTATTATTGACATTTGGAAGAAACAGAAAGATCAACAAATCTCCCCCGTGTTTGCAATAGCACATACACGGTATCGCCAGGCCTCTGTGAAGCACACACATTCGGATGGGTGTGGGAACACGCAAGTAAGACACACACATACACGAGTTGATACGCACCTGGAAGAGCGTATAAAGTAACACCAGGCCCGCTATCGTTCATTGCAACTCTCTTGTAGTCGCATCAGCAATTTCATTGAAATGAAGACACGCGTCTGGCACACACGCACGCATTGAACAATACGTATATATGAACCAACTACACACACCTGGAAGAACATGCACACACACAACATCGAGAGAAACCCTGGCTCTACAAGTGTCCAGTGCACCTCCCCAGTGGCCGCAATATCGAACACGAAATAGCTCCACCACACTATCTGCTCAAAGAAGAAGTTGGGGTGGCGCGAGAAGGCAGACATGCCGTTAGTCAGAAAGCCTCTCTTGTAGTCCCGCAGAATGCTCTCGTCGGTGGACGGGTGCGGAACGGCCCCTTGTTGTCTGGGGTTGGGTTGGGTAGGATGGGACGGTTGATTAGGAACGGTATGGATCACCCGTAGGTACGATGTAGGTGAAGCCGATGAAATGGTACGATTGATGCATGTGTCATTTAAGTAAACACCGAAACATAGTGTGATTCTGGGTGATGAGATCGGGCTGGATGTGAGGATCGATTGACTATATGTAATACGCACGCGTGCACGACGTATGTGATGCATGAACGGCTGAGCAAGTGTGTGGTGCAAAAGGGCATATCATCTGTGTTGCCAGCACGTCTGCACTGTTGGTGATGCGCAGGTGCCTACGCTTGAGGCATCCCCATTCCAATGGGTGTGGTGGTGTACCAGCGCCGGCTACAAGTGACCATGAAGTACGGGTGCATTACTTGCAGTAAAACTAGCTGTACACAGCGCATGTAGCGTCTGTGTGAGGGCATGCTAGTTTGACGCCGGACGCTGAATGGGACTCCTCGCCAAGACAGGAAGCCTCGCATGTTCAATCAAGGCGGCTATGAGCAAGATAAATATGGCCGGGACATAGGAATGGGATATATGGCCAGGGCATGGGAATGGGATATATGGCCAGGGCATAGGAATGGAATATATGGCCAAGGCATAGGAATGGAATATATGGCCAGGGCATAGGAATGGGATATATGGCCAGGGCATAAGAATGGGATATATGGCCAGGGCATAAGAATGGGATATATGGTCAGGGCATAGGAATGGGATATATGGCCAGGGCATAGTAATGGGATGTATGGCCAGGGCATAGGAATGAGATGTATGGCCAGGGCGTAAGAATGAGATATATGGCCAAGGCATAGAAATGGGATATATGGCCAGGGCATAGAAATGGGATATATGGTCAGGACATATGAATGGCAGCATGGACTATGCCACGTATGCGAGACGGAAGATATGAATGGTATCATGAGTGGTTGGCGATAGGATGATCCTGGGCCCTGAGTCTACAATGCACAAAGTATTAGGCCACATTCCTGGTACACAGATAGTTCATATATGTACGTACATGTTACAATAGCAGTGCAGGTATGTTTACACCCGCGGCAGTGGCTCGTATGCACGTTTGATGTAAAGAGATGCCTATACGGGTGGAGCGTTACGCGCACGAATAGGACTCGACGTGCAAAAAGCATGTAAAATCAAGAGAGTTAAATTGGATTACATACGGCCAAAACACCGTACCTGAGCCGATACTTTTCATTTTGGAATATCCACTGTTCCTGGTCGGCAAGTGTTTCGAAGAACAAGGAGCCAACTAGCAAGAAGATGGCCCCAAAGTCAACCATGTTCAGAGGCATCTCCCTGTAAAGGTTCAGACCCGAGATAAGGATGAGTTGATATAGTGTTGCAGTAATGTCGACCATGGTTCAAGGCATCGCTTAGTATTGATTCGTAATTAGGGAAAGTATGGATTGCCATTGTTAATCTCCAGTCAACAATAGCATCGTTTAGGTGCTAAGACACCTTCTGGGGAACCACTTGACCGGTGAAAGGCATGGAGTTGAAGTGATTCCGAAGTAAGGATGAGTTGCTATCAATGATCTCAAGCCAGTGATGATCAAACGCGTCTGTTTACAATACGTCAGTCCCGAGAGCTCATAAATTGGTACAACTAACTGTTAAACTACTACGGCCGAACGACAGTCCCTAAGACAGCGATGTTTAGAGTCATATGTCTGTGAATGATACATGCACGCAAATATATTTGAGCTGGCATGGGTAATCCTAAGCACGCGACTTACGCCTGTAAAAATAATCTTATGCTGAGCTGGCATGGGTAATCCTACGCACGCGACTTACGCCTGTAAGAATAATCTTATGCTGAGCTGGCATGAGTAATCCTAAGCACGCGACTTACGCCTGT